GAGCTCACCTCTCTAGGGGTTATCTAATTTGAGTCTGTGGGAGCTATGCACCTTTTAATGCCTTTGAGCTATTTTAAAATTGTGCATATGATAGACTACTGATAGCAATGCCAAGGATTCTTGTCTACAGACAGAAAAAAACACCGTGCCCAGTGAAGGTTCAATTGACTTCACTCTCCCACTGTTGGAAAAAGCCAGTTTTGCCTCTGATTGGGCATTCATTTCAAAGTTCCTGACTTATAAATGGGTCCATTTTGGGGTTCTCTTCTGAACTGGTTATAACTTCCTCATTAAACACGAGTTTTTATCTCTCACCTGTGTTCATTTTATATTTCTCTGAGAGTCACAATGTCGCCTCTTTTTGAATATTATCTTTTCACAATACACATCTTCTGTCTCAACTAACAGACCCATTCATCAGTCTCCAAAGATAACTTAAAATGTCATTTTTTCTGTTCGGGGCCTTTGCACATTTCCTATCCTCTTTACCATCAACACCCAGTAAAATCCCATCGCTTCTATTGTTTCAGGCACCTGATAAACTATGTCCTCTTCTAGAAAGATTTCTCTAGCCATCAGGCCCTGAAGTGTATGTCTTCTGTTCCCTGAAATCTCACAATGTTTACTGTTGCACCATCCATGTTGCATTTCTGACACACGCGTTCCCCTGTCAGAGTTGTTTGTGCACTGCCTTAAACTCTTCCAGATCTGAAGCTCCTGGAATGCAGGGACCACACCCTTCCATCTCTGTCCCATACAGAGCTTTGTGTGTATGTACAGGTAAACACACACACACACACACACACACACACACTTTTGATAAATGTTTGCTAAAATAAAGAACTTTACCACTAGGACAGTTATTCACTCATTCTACTCGAAGCCCTGACAGGTAATTTCGGTATTTAAAATAAATTGGGGGCAGTATACATTTCCGAAATGCTGCTGGCAATCTCTTCCACCTTTATTAAGTCTCATTACTAGTATGACTTTCTCACTAGCAGGGACTGAAACCATCGCTGGCTCCCCAGTACAGGGCAAAGCTTGCTGTCCTGGGGCTCACATGATACTTGGTCCTTCCACGGTGAGCTTACTTACTAGCCTGAGATTATAATTTGATCATATTTCTTCTTTGTCTCACCCATAATTGGGGGCCCCCCCAGTGCAGGCACCATGTTTCCTTCATCTTTATTTCCACCAGCTAGCATAATGCTTGTTACACGGTTGCCACATAGCAGGTACTGTATAAAAATGGGTCAAGTTCACGAATTCATGAAATTTGTAAAAAGTGAAATTCTGGGAACAAGGGTATAAATTCCAAGCTCTCCAACGTGTAAAGCAGTTACTAGTATGATTTTTCTTCCACTAATACTGAACTTAAAAAAAGCAATCCTGTTTAGACACCTTGTCATTTACGAAACAAAAGGACTTTTTCCCCAGGTTTAACCTATACAGGGTTAGATTGTAATTAGATTAAATTAAGAGATATGAAGCCAATAGTTATATATAAAGCATATAAAAGAAAACATAAGCTTTAACCCCTAAATATATATATCTTAAAATTCAAACTGTAAAACTGACAAATTCTAGGAATATTCCACAGTGAAAAAAAAAGAGGTATACAGAACTGTAAACAGTATTCTTTATTGGGCATTTGGTAAAAACTCTACTATATGATATCTAGGAAAGATAGATAATACCTAATATCCAGTCTATGCTTCTTCCTTAGTTATAAAATACCTGATTTTTTTTTTTTTTTAAGTAGGCTCCATGCCCAGTGGGGAGTCCAATGCAGGGCTTGAACTCACGACCCTGAGATCAAGACCTGAGCTGAGATCAAGAGTTGGACGCTTAACCAACTGAACCACCCAGGTGCCCCAATAAAATACCTGATTTTTAGATGGACAAATGATTGCTCAAAATAAAATTTCCCAATCTTTCCTACAGCTATATGTGGCTATGTGATTAAGATCTCACCAACTGAATATGAGCAGAAGTGGTGTGTGCAATGTTGAGACATTCTGGTTTTTTATTTTTTTGCCTATAATTCTTTTTCTATTTCTCCTTCCTGCTGCTTGGAATACAGACATAATGGCTGAGTTCTAGAAGCCAAACTGGACTATGAGATGAGCCATACACAAGACAACAAAAATAATATAAAGATTCTAGACTGATTTTCTTTGTATTTCTTGAATGTGAGAGAGAAAAAAACTCTTATTCAAGTCGCTGTTATTTTATGTGTCATTTGCAGCCAAACCTAATATTAACTGATACAGGATCTGAGATCCCTTACCTGTTGAAAACTCCTCTCTAAATTCTCGCCACCTTAGTTTTTAGATATAGAAGCATGTTATAGAGTAAAAAGCACTGGCTTTATAGTCTGAACAAGTGGATGCCAGTCTTGGCTCCTTCAGGCTTTAGTCATATAGTGTTGGGCAAGCTGTCTGAGACTCATTCCCATGAAATGTAATATAGAGATGATGATGATGACGATGGCTTCTTCTTGGGGTTGTTGGAAGCAGTGAGTGATGTCAGCTGAGATCATGCGTGAGAAGGGGCTTCATAAATTATAAAGCATTATGTGATTTTTTTTTTTTTTTGCTTCTATTTCTAGCAAGAGAAAAATGAATCATGGGCTTGTTAAGTGGAGGAGTAAACAGGACCACCCGGGATCAGGCACTGAAAGTGCAGAAGCTCAGTTCTCTCTAGTCTATCATGCATGCCAGTGACATTTAAAAGGAAGAAACTGATAAAAAATATTCTCTAAACAGGGACCAGCTGCATACTACTCAAAGGATGTACTTAGCATAGTGCCTATCCTCTGGTAAGTACTACATGCATACCACTTCTACTGTTAACCACTGCTCCCACGATCATAGCAACAGAGTCTACACCACGCAAGGTGGCATCACCAGCACGTTCTTTTCGGAGAGATGGACCTCTGGGTAAATCCAAATTAAAATCCTACTGCTTGCTATTAGAACAAGGGGAATTATATAATTTGAATGTTTAACATCAAAAGACTAAGAAAGCTTGATACATCCATGGCATTGCCAATGGAACTTCGATTGTTATAATTTGCTGGCAAAACAGTAAACGGCAGAGGAAATTGACCAATTTCCGTCAAGTTTCCTCACTGCCCTGGGAGTCTTGCTATCTCTTTAAAGTGAAATAGACTTTGTAGGTTGCCTTCTCTCCTGGTTCATGTGTAAATTTATGATTTAATGATGAGAGGATAATCTTATGTGCCTTATTTGAAAGTTCTTAGTGACCATTTTACTACTGATTCACTTGCAAAGTGCCCTTAATACAGAGAGAGGTGTTACGGAGCAGTGCTGCTCAAGCTTTAATGTGTGCGTGGGTCACCTGGGGATCCTGTTAAGCTGCAGAATCTGATTCAGTAAGATCTGGGGCAGGGCGGAGATTCTGCATTTCAACATTCTGTGCAACAAGGTTAAAAGTATTATAGCTAATTAAAGTGGTAAAGTCGGGATTTAAACCTGGTCTGTCTAATTCCAAAGGCTATCCCTCTCCCACAATGCTGAAATGCAAAAATAGAGGGCTGAATAACAAGTGGGAAAGTGTGTTTAAGCCAAATCATTTGGGATAACTATTATATGCAATGTTAAAATTCACAAGTATTATTTTCCCAGAGAATAAAGGAAGATACACATTAAGCTGGAGAAAAATAAATTTTGCTTTTGAGGAGAGGACAGTGATATCCTAGGACAGGAATATCTAGGATAGAATACAGAGAACATAAAATAGAGTGAAAAATTATGGATGATGGATAATAAATATTTACATTCTTTTTTTTAAAGATTTTATTTATTTATTTGAGAGAGAGAACACAAGAGAGAGCACAAGCGAGGGGGGGGAGCGGCAGAGGGAGAGAGAAGCAGACTCCCCACTGAGCAGGGAGCCTAATGCAGGGCTCCAACCCAGGACCCTGGGAACATGACCTGAGCAGAAGGCAGACGCTTAACCGACTGAGCCACCCAGGTGCTCCCAGTCCTTACAGTTTTGGACCGAAGAAGTCTGGACTTTAACAGCCAGAGAACTTTCCCTCTGATTCCACATGAAAGTCAATTTCAAAGCCCTGCTGAAAGTGCATCTCTGTGTGTTCTCCATAAGACAAGAAAACCCCCACCATATTAGATCAGACTGTGGTGCATCCAGCAGTATTTTGTCTCTACCAGTGGCTCCAAGTGAGGTTTTTGAAGGAGAACATGCTGTCTTCTCTGTCGTTAACTGCGTAAGTTCAGGAAACACCACAAACACATCTCTCACTTCCTCTGATGCCCTGTTACCCATCATTCTTAAACATACGTGAAGCCTATAGTTACTGAGCCAGGATCTATCAGATCCTGATTTCCTATGTTTATTACCTGCTGTTGAGAGCAGGATGCCCTTTTACTAGTCCCGATCTACTTTCGAAAGACTTTCTTTGTATTTATCCTGCCTTAAATTGTTTTTTTTTTCACGTATCACATTCTCTATTAGACTCTAAGTTACTATACTGTCTTACAATTATTGTTTAAGTGATTTTTCTCTCACAATATTGTGAATTCTTGAAGGACTAAAACTGGTCAATTTTGTATTTTGTTGCGGTGTGTCAAGCAAATAGTGGGCATTCACAAAAAAGCTGGATGAAAATATAATAAGCTCTACTAAATTTTAGAATAGAAGTTCCTTTATCTTTTCTTAGTTTCTTTAATTCTGACATACAAAGATTTAGGAAATGATCAATTGAGGGCCTATTTGTATTATTCCAACATATTCCCATTCTTTCCAGTTCAAAGCAATAGACATCTACTGAATGTCTGCTTTAAGCCATAATTGTAAAAGCTGAAAGACACAGTTCCTAAGATCATATCCCTGTATCCTCTTTGAGGAAGTTAATCAATACACTAATAATGAGCATCCAACCCTTATCTTTTGTGCATTTTGAAATAAATAAAAACCAGAATATAATATGTATATAACTTATTACTACATACTTGGTCAAATTGGGGATCTTCTCCACGTTGTAGAGATTTTGTCAATGGTTTTTCCTAGAAAAAAAAAAAAGAATAATTATCAGATGCTCTTAAACAGCATAAAAAAAGTGCATTATTGTTATAATTTTTCTAATTTACTTCTCCATTGATGGGGCAGAGGTACCAGTTTTTATTTTATTTTTTTTAAAGATTTTATTTATTTATTTGACAGAGAGAGACACAGCAAGAGAGGGAACACAAGCAGAGGCAGTGGGAGAGGGAGAAGCAGGCTTCCC